ACAGATGGAAACCACTCAATTGGACTCCCATTTTACATGCTCTCCGAGAACAAGTTCGTAAGCACTATACAAGGTAAAACATTCAGATCTGCCACTGTGCTGATGGCTTGCTTATAGAACATTCATCCAGGAACACTTACTTACCAAATATGATGTAGCGGCCTGCAGCATAAAAGACACTGCTGCCTGATATGGGGGAGTGGATGAACAAAGATGAATCAGATACATAAACTGAAGTGTTCTTATCCATCATTGTGCTTTCTCCCCCATTTTGTTCATCTTTTTAAAAGCACACATCTCTCTGTGTTCACGCTTGAATTCTATATTCAGGGACTATTCTTAGCACAAAATTCTTGGGGAGAAATTCTGGCTGAGTAACAAGCAGCTGACCTGAGACAGAAAATCAGTGGGTGGATAGAAGGTGGCACACACTATACACATTTGAAGACATTCAAAGCCAATGGTTAAAGCAATACAAAGAGCAAAGAAAACAAGCATTTCATTCTCCTTCTCTCCAGACTCAAGAAAATCAAGAAATAATATTACTTATATTCAAGGTTGCATGTACAGACAGACAGGAAAGCACCATTGAAACATTCTTTATGATGCTAGACTCTAACAATCTTTGATTCCATCAGGAAATGGAATAAAGACAATAGCTCAGCGTCTGGAAGTATTAGGTCCAGTCTCATATAAAAAGAGCTAGCTGCAACAAGAGGACTCTTCTGAATCTAAGCTATACCAGTTCTTATTTTCTTGGGCATGAAGTGGAGGAGAATGAAATGTATTCATAATCTGACATTGAAATGCCCTCTTGTTGCAGCCAGTTCTTTTCATCTGAGACTGATTGATTTTACACTATTTCCTGCAGTCAAATGTGTTTATATTCTAGCATCATGAAAAATTGTTTTGATTGTGTTTTCCTGTCACTTTATATGGGTAATTAACACAACAATGCATTATAATGTCAAATCAGTTGTCAGAAACTTTGTTCCCAGAAGCTGAAATATTACAATGGTCCTAGAAACTCACCCCAGGGTGATTTTTCCTTCTTTTCTCCCCTATCTGAGTGTATGTCTGGGTGCACAGACTGCTTTCTTAGGGCAGTGGGTTTGTCATTAAAAACAGATTCTGCCTTTTGTGCTGCAGGTGTTTGGGGTGGGAACAGTGTGGGCAAAACAAATATGTGGGCTATGCAAAAGAAGGTCAGACACCTCAGCGGAGGCCTGAGTGTGAGAACCCCTGGTTAACTTTGCCCATTTTGGGAAGTTCTAAACATAGTGGTTGCAGATCAAACTGACTTGGGGGAATGTGTGGGGTCGGGTGGGGGAAGTAAACAAAGAGAAGGTGCTCAGTGAAGCACAGCAGTGGTCTGAGTAATGCTGAGCTGGTTCTCTCTGGTGCTGTTTGTCCATCCCAGGTCGGCCTGGCTGCCAGACAGGTGACCTCCGGTGTTGTCTTGAGCCCTGGTTTCTTTCTTTCTTTTTTTTTTTTTAAGTTTTCTTTATTTATACATACAGGAACTGGGGTACAGGCCAGGCCAGAGTTGTTGGGGGCAAGGGGTTGAGAGGATTCACCAGACAGTGGGTAACAGAACAGGGGATTGACTGAAATACACTGCTGAGGGGAGCAGCGGGCAAGTCAGGAGAGGTCTGCTGCACCATGTGGGTAGCTCCCTGGCCAGGGATCAAACTCATGTTGCAGTGGCTGCGAATAGCTTCATAGGTTGCGTCTTAACCTCTTACACCACCAGGGAGGCCCCTCAAGCCCTGGTTTCTTTGCAAAAAACTTGCCATGCTACTAAAGCTAGTAAGGCAAGTAGGAGGAGTGGGGTGGGGGTAGGGGGATGCTGAGGTCTCACCAGCCTGACATGAGGCTCTCTCTGGATTTCTCTTCAATTAACTTCAAACTCTGCCTCACATTCCCAGGCCTCAGAAACAAAATCCCAGTTCCTTTCTCAATAACCTCCATTTCTAAAGCAGTAAAAGCCTGTGTGCCAAAAGAGAGAGAATTATGTTTACTGAGTTATAAATTACGTGTCATATAACCCACCCTTTCCCAGGTACGCTTGTAGAGTTTTGACTAATACACACAGTTTTGGAACCACCACCATCATCAGGATGTAATCAAGACACAGAGCATTTCCATCGTCCTAAAAACTCCCTTGTGTCTCTGTGTACTCAACTCCTCCCTCCACCTCCAGCCTCTGGCAACCGCTGCTGTGATCTCTGTCCCTGCGGTTTTGTCTTTTCCCTCGTGTCATATAAATGGAATCACACACAACCTTCTTAAACATCCTTATTAAACCAACAGCTGCCCTGCCCAACTCTCTGCCAGCACATCCTGCTTTGCCTTATTATTTTTCACAACACTTAATATTATCTGGACTAAACTATCATCATTATCTGTAATTGTCTGACACTGGAAATGTGTATTCCCACTAATTTGAGAGGGCCAGAACTTTGCCTCATTTTCAACTTCACGCACAAGGTTCAGAGCCCTGCCTGCCATTGGATAGGTGTTCAATACATATTTGTTAGATCAATTACAAAATAATTGAGGATGTTCGAACTTCCCCAGACTCTCTCCATACTTAGGCAGACCTCATTAATAAGAGATTATTCCTGTTCTACTAGTGCCCCCAAAATGTGTTCATCCAAATGTTACTGTGTGTCAAAGTAGATGTGTTGTCTGCCAGTAACACAATTAACAGTCACTGGGCTGATCCTGATTAAGGATTGTCTTTTACATTTACTTTCTGGATGATAACATTACCTAGAATAGAACTGGTCCCAAGTGAGTGAAATGGAAATAATGACAGCAGCTACTTGGTAGGGTTATTATGAGGATTAAATGACTTCATGCACCTGCAGTGTTTAGAGCAGTGATTCTCAACTAGGAGCTATTTTGCCCCCATAGGGCTTTCCAGTGGTGTCTGGAGATGTTTTTCTTTTGTTGTCAAAACTGGGATGGGGCCGGTTGCCACTGACTTCTGCTGCTAAACATCTACAATGGGACTGCCCCTACAACAACAATCATCTGACCCCAAATGTCAGTAGTGCCACCTATGAGAAATCCTGACTTGAGAAAGTGCCTGGCACCTATAAAGGTCTATTCTGTGGTTGTTGTTGCTATTATTATTATTATTTTATGTGACTCTTGTTGATAGATGTTCTCATACAGTGTGAGGGTGAAGACACCTTCATAATGGTTGACAGCATTAATTTTACCCTTTATTAACAATTTATGGAGGTAGGAGGGAGAAACCCACAGTGGATGAGTAACTGTGGATTTATAGCCATTCTCCACATCATAATCTGATATTTGTGAAGGTGTTTTGGAAATTGTAAAATGAAACTATGAAAATGTGAGCCATCACCCTGATTATCAACTCTCTCAAACAGGTTATCAGAGAGTCAGAAGTTTCCCATGTTAGGAAGGTGACCAAGTTTTTATGTTAGTTTGTTTTCTAAGTAGCGGAAATCACATAGCAAGTTTATATTGAAGAATAAACTTTTGCATAATAAACTATAAATATATTTCTGAGCATAAAACTTTTAAATACATAATCTACTAAAAGATGCTGCCTGATCTGTGTTTCAATACTTTTCTTTTTCCTTTTTTTTAAAGATTTATTTATGCATACAAGAACTGGGGTACAGGCCAGAGGTGCGGGGGGTGAGAGGATTCACCAGAGACAGAGTGGGGGCAGAACAGGCAGATTGATTGAAATACACTGCCGAGGGGAGCAGCGGGTAAGACAGGAGAGGTCTGCTGTGCCATGTGGGTAGCTCTCTGGCAGGCAGGGGGTCGAACTTGTGTTGCAGAGGCTGTGGACAGCTTCACAGTGCTGTGCTTAATCCTTTGCACCACCAGGGAGACCCTGTTTCAATACTTTTCAGCCCAGCAAGCAGTGCAGGCCATGGCCATCATGTAGTCTTTGCTTCCTTAGAATGATCCTTGATGCTTTTTCACAAAGTAAGTCTTATGTCTGATGTCCTACTCCAATTTTGACTATCCTTAGACTCAGATCCTAAGTTCTCTTAACCCACCTGTCCCACACCTGATAGAAGACAGTTCACTCATACTCACAGTATATTTACAGCATGACCTTAATTCCCTGCCTCCTAATCCACAAGCACACACTATTCCTTAAGCCCAGGGCTGGGAGGGTAAGAACAAGAAATAGACTAATGGGAATGAACAGATGGTGGGTGTCAGAGTGAGTGAGCAGAGAGAAAATGAATGGCGATATCTGGTACCATTTTTTTTTTTCAAAACCAGAAAATAAGAACAAGAATAAAAATACTTGTTTGTACATATTCTTTACTCACCAAAAATTTTCCCTTCCCTCCATTTATACTCTAAGAAAAAGTATTTTATTTCGCTGGAATTATCATAATGAAAGATCTTTCTTTGAAATAGAAACTGAAATGTGGATTCTCGAACAAGAATCACGGCGTTTATACGCCTCATGTTAACAAGTCTCCTTGTACTGCTTCTGTGCAGTACAGTAAAGTAGAACCCAAACTTTGTGTCATTAGTTTTATACTGTTTGCTGACACCTAGAAATGCAGAACACCAGTCTTGCACAGCATCTGGTTTTTAAAAGGAAGTCAACAAAGACTTAATGAATAAGTGAAAGAATGATGTCCATATAACCTGGACACGACTGGCTTTCATTATTTTATTTTTGTTGAGTATATTTTGGGTTTACAGTTAACTCACTCAGGTTGGTAAACATGGAAAAATAGCTTCATATGTAGATGAAGACAAGACCCCTTTTTTTCTTGCAATCTTTTATTTTTCTCATTTAGAAGATAGTTTGAAAGCATTTTTTAGAAGGTGGTTTTCTTAATGGAAAGTGACTCAAAATGAAGAAGTCTCAGTTCAGGCTTTTTTTTTTTTTTTAAATCTTACCCAAAAGGAAGTGAGTGTGTCTACATTTCATAAACTTACAGTTCCACCGAGATGAAATTTAAAGCAGGAAGAAACATGCCACCAATACACTTGATGGGAACATGTTGCATCATGTAAAATAGATATGACAAAAACAGTCCTTCTTAAATTCCTTCTTGCAGTAGTGATTACATTCATTTTAATTTTGCCAGAATATTTCAAGACACCAAAAGGTGAGTATATAATTTATCTTTTCTTTTTCTAGTTAAAAAAATTATGTCAGCTAATGGTTACAGGAAAGATCCTCTTTCTGGATACCCGCTACACAGACTGAAGTTCTTTATTGGAAAAAGTAATAAAATGAGATTGCAATTTTAGTTGACCACTACATAGCACAGTAACCTTATTCATTGTATTTGTGTTGCAAACAGTATGAAATGAAAACCTAAAGTGAAATATTTAAATCTGTAGTCTAGATTTCAAACATTGAGTTTATAGCAACTTCAGCACATGCTTATATTTCTTGAAACAGTTTCTTTCAGACAGTTTCTTTCAAACATTTTCAGGTATGCTTTTACATTCTGGAATTACTTTACAAAAAAAGTTAACATTTATTATATTAAAACTGCTTGAATTTCCTCCACTACAACTATTTTACCCAAATAATTTACTGTCACTGTTTAAAAAGTGAGTAATTAGATACTGTATTCCAAAATAAAATTAAATGAGTGCAAATTTAAGCAGGTGTATGTATGTATGTACATATTTGAAACTAGAGAAAAAAATAACAAAATTAACTGGATTTTTCTAAAAAATATGATTGCTGAAACCTTGAGTAGAAAAATGAACAGGTGAAAATTAAAACTATTTTTATATGTCAGTAAAAAATTTGAAGATATTTTGTTTTGGATGGTAATTGTGTTCCCTAGCATTTAATAAGAAAAAAAAAGTAAGAGGAAAATACTGTATTTTATTATTAAAAAGTTATTATTAATTTGATTAAAATCAGAGAAAAGGTTATATTTGCTGCCTGCTGTGGTGGTTATTGTTGCATATACATGATGCTAAAATGACCAAAAGGAATATTTTTGGTAATTATATTTGATGGCCTATAGCAATGATTCTTTTAATGTTGCATCTACATTGTGTGAAGTTGCCAGATAAAATATTTTTGATAAATAGACCCTATGACTGCACTTTTGTGAACAACTGAAATTTTCTAATTTCTCTTGGCTATCTGGCATCATATTGCTTGGATTAAGTAATCATAGCACATGTGTTTTATTCTTGATTTCATGACTGAAAATATAAAAAGAATAGCTAAAATTGGAATACAGATAATCTATTCTGGGTTGAGAGTAAGCTCATTTAGTGGTTGCCTAAGTAGGTCATATAAATGTACCTAACACCTCCAAAAAATCAGATTGGAACTAAAAGCTGAGTAACTAGCCTGGAAAGTAATAAAAAAATTATTTGCTAACTATTGGTTAGTGCTTCATGAGAACTGGTGACTACAGGAGCTTACTAAAATTTTTCTTTTTTAAGCATATGTCATTTGACAATATTGAACATCACTGAAAATGATTTTTGTTGTTAGTTTCATAACTAATTATATGCAGAATCTCCCAATATGCCTTTGTAGCTCTCCCAAACTTAAAATAGCTATTTCTCTTTTCCTAGTTCAAGAACACCATAGATATTTCCTCAAATTCTTTCTGGGTTGATTTACTTGGGAATTTTGCTTTAAAGGAACATTCCTTGGGGTCAACAAGCAACAATGTTTGAAAACCACCATCTTATCCTTATGTCATTTTGTGTTTGAATGAATTTTCACGGTACCACCATAAATGAAAAGTTGATTATTAGGCAAAAGATTTTATACATGAAATAGTGTAATCAGAATGCTCTGTATTTTATAATGGTTTATGGGTCACTAACAAGAAGTTTCCTAGAGCCTCCTTTTATATGTTATATATTATATTCGTCAAACTAAAGGCATGTAGTTCATTTGCTTTTATATTTCAATATTTTTTTTATCATAGTAACAGTTGCCTTATGAAATAAGTTAACCAGTGTATTTCATACAGTTCAATGTCTGGTAAAATCATTTAGATGATAAGTTAAGATGGTTTTAACCTTGAGATTTTCCTGGGTAGTCTTATCTGCCCAATCACTTCCTTGTGTCTTTTTTTTTTCATTTTTTCATATGTCCTATTCACTTTAATTTCTTAAGATAAATATTATAAAGTGATTTTTTCCTTATAAATTATTCACTGATACCCTGTCTTTAACATATCAAATGAATTTCAAAGGAAATCTCAACAAGGAATAATGTATTCATGAGGTTTAATAGATTTGATTTCAAAATAATAAACTCTCTGAAGGCCCAAGTTAAAAATAGAGCACTGTGTTTGATCATTTTTCATCAAGAATGTATTTGAGTCTCTGAATAATCATTAGCTGGAATATTCAATTATCATAATTATACAGTATGAGCTATTTAGTCTAACTTTACCAAGGAAGGGCAACTTCTCCACTGGTGGTTTGGGACTTGTAATGAGTTTACATTGTTACACAGTGGCATGCTACCTTACTCTAACTTTCAGTTTATTTGAAAGGTAGCGTATATGAAGGTATAGTAGCTAATAGAATGGTTTCATACACTGACACTGCACGTAGATAAAGGAATGGATATATTTTGATTCAGAGCTTCTTGTAGTTCAGGGAGCTGGGTTTCTCCCAGAAAAGACATTTTGCTAACGGTTAAAAGTAGTTAAGAGAGAGGGAGAGCAGGTTAACTCATATATTAATACATCTTAGTGTTCTCTTATTTTTTCACTTATGTGTAATGTCTACCTCTGCCAGAACCTGGGACTACAAAAATGAAAGCAAAGTCTTTCTTTCTTCAAGAAGTTTTAAGTCAGGGGAAGGCTCTCTGAAAAATAACTAAGGACAATACTATAATCACTAACATAGCAATGTAAGAAAGATGGGATGGGAATGTAGAAGTGGCTTCCAGGCTTCCCTGGTCAGGATATTCCTTACGTTCTCCTTTGCAAAGAGAAATAACAACTGTCAGTTCTAATGAGCACTTCCTCACGTGCTTGTAGAAGTACTTTCTAAAAAAAAATTATTGATTTCAAATAAATGTACTCATATTAATACCTCAGAAGCTCTTGAAACCAGAAATTGCAGTGAGTATACAAGTGATTTGTGGCAATGCAGGACAGGAATAGCACAGATGAAAACACCTCAAGCCTAATTTTATCTGACTGTTTTGCCTTCCTCACTTACTTTTAAGAGCCAACTGACATAAACTATGTTTACCAGTTTTCACTTCCCTTCTATTTCACACTTTCTGATGGAAATGGTAGTATAATGAAAAGTGAAATGGAAGGAAACAACAGATAAAGGAATTTAAAATACTTATAAACTATAAGATAAACACTGACATATGAGTATATGTTTACTTATGTTTCTATTATGAAGGACAGTGTTATCAAAGTTAACTGCAGTTAACTTGCTCAGCAGTGTTCTCTTCATTTTCAAAAATGGACAATTTGTTTTCTTCTTATTGACTGGCTCATTAATATTTTAATCAGTAGTGTCCAATAAGGCATGGCACATAGTTTTATAACTATTTAATAAAACATGAATTTAATAAATACTTATGCATGGACCAGGTACCATGCCAACTATTTTCATAAAATAACTCACCTTAACACATTGACTATTTCAACTCATTCATCGTGAAGCACCATTCTCAAGAGAGATTATTTGGAAAATTATCTGAAAGAAGAAATAAAACTAGATGAGTAAATTTTCTTGTTCTAAGATTTTACCTCTTACTGAACTTTCTGTATCTTTACAGTTTTAAAATGGCTAGCAATATACACAATTTATTTTTAAGTATATACAAATATATATATTTTTTTAGATTTATTTATTTTTTATTTATTTATACAAGCACTGGGTACAGTCAGAAGCGTGGGAGGGTGAGAGAATTCACCAGAGCCAGAGCGGGGAGCAGAGCAGGCAGAAGGACCGAAGTACACTGCTGAGGGGAGCAGCGGGCGGCAGGAGAGGTCTGCGCGCCATGTGGGACCCTCCTCTAGTGGCCAGGGAGCAGCCGGGGATCGAACCAGCGCTGCAGAGACTGCGGGCAGCTTCGCAACCCAGCGCTCAACCGCTGCCCTATATACAAATATTTTTACAAATATATTTTAGATGCTATAGGCAGGCAAAAAACACTGCTGCATGTAATAAATAATGCTTTTCATTACTCTGGCAGTATTTGCCTCCTTTCCCAGGTAATAATACCAGCAACCCTTGCTTGAGATACTCTCTGTTTCATTGCATTGGTAGATAGATGATCTCTTTGTGGATCTTTTCTGTTCTCATAGAAAAAATGACTTGCTCTGAAACATTAATGTGGTGTTATATTTTTCACTTACTACAGCACTTATTTTCTATATAATTTACATATTTATTGTGTGTATATTTTTTGTCTGTATATTTTTGTTGTCTGTTCCCCCAATAGAATGTAAGCCAATGAAAATGAGGTTTTGTTTGTTTTATTCATATTTTAATTCCTATCACATCAAAAGGCACTCAATGAATGTTTGTTGATTGCGTGAATTTTCTGAGTCATATTGTAAAGGAAATAAAAAGAAAATACCATTGAAGGCAGCATTTCTCATCTGCTCCTCACAATCATCATTTTTAGGCAGACCAGGCATTTATCTTCCTCTTATATTTGTGAAACAACATTTTTAATCACAAACCTAAAACTTTTAGGTTGTGCAGTCTGTAAAACTTTTACGTAAAGTTACAAATCTCTTTACCTTGAGTCATTTTCTTACTATTTTTCTTCATGTGGGATTTCATAATAGGCATTTACTTCCCTTGTTTTGATAAGTAAAAACAACAATCTTTTTTCTTATGTTCCAAACTGACCATTCACATGCTGCTACCATAAGTTAGAAGTAACCCAAAACTTTGCCCTTTATCTATGGAAATATTTTAAATTGTCTTCCCCGAATTCTATGAATGAATCCATATCCTATCTAGACTTCCTATTTCTGATCAGGCAAACTTCATGGATGTAGCATCCATATGTGACATGCCCCTCTTACCCACTAAATACCTTCAACTGTTGCATTGACAATGGAATCATAATTGTTTGAGCTGTTGAAATTGATATAATTTTTATTCCTTCACAGAGGCAGACTTGTGACTAAAGGGAAGCAACATGTTAACCAATGTCTGTAAAGCAGAAGCTAAGCCATAAGCTCTCTCCTATCCTGAAAGCTTTTTAAAAAAATTTCAATTATTTATTTATTTAAATAATTTATTTTTATTTTATACGTTTTCTACATCATTTTCTATCCTGAAAGCTTTTATTTAACTTAATTTTATTTTATTGAGGGAACTGGTTTACAACGCCGTATGTGATTCGGAGGCATAGGATCACACCTCCTGCAGCTTGTATTTTCAAATTGTTGAATCATGCTACATAATAGCCAATCATGATGATAGATCTTTAGAAACATTTGGGTATGTTTTGCTTTGGCAATGATTTATTTTATTTTAAGCTTTATTTATTTATACATATAAGAACTGGGGTACAGGCCAGAGGTGCGGGGGATGAGAGGATTCACCAGAGACAGAGTGGGGAACAGAACAGGCAGATCTATTGGAACACATTGCTGAGGATAGCAGCAGACAAGACAAGAGAGGTCTATTGCACCATATGTGGGTTAGCTCCCTGGCAGGCTGGGTATCGAACTCATGCTGCACAGGCTGTGGATAGCTTCACAGTGCTGTGCTGACCCCCTTGCTCCACCAGGAAGGCCCCTTGGCTATGACTTTTTTTAAAGGCTTAATTTACACGCAATAAAATGGCAAGATCTTAAGTATTTATAGTAATGGATTTTGACAGTGGTATGTACCTATGGAAGTACCATCCCACACAAGATACAGGCTTTCATCACTCCCAGTTAGATTCTCTTGCTCTTTCCTGTCAAATCTCCTCCCACTCCAAAGGCTACTCTCTGACTTGTGTCACTATGGTTTTGTCCCTTCGTCATATGAATGGAAGCATCACACAGAATATACTTTTGGTCTGACTTTAGCTTGGCATAATGTTTCTGAGATTCTACTATGTTATTGAGTATATCAGCAGTTTTTCTTTTTCTTGCTAAGTAGTCCATTGTAAATATACAGCACATCTGTCCATACATTCCTTGGGTTGTTTCCAGTTTTGAGCTATTATAAATATGCTGTAATGAACATTCTTGTATAAATCTTTGCATGAACATGTTTTTATTTCCACTGGGGTAACTAGTGGTGGAATAGCTGAGTATATTTAATCTTACAAGAAACCCCAAGTACTTCTCCAAAAACAATTGCATCAGCTATATTTCTAATGACAAAAGTTTCTTATTTTCTCTAGTATATATTTAATATACTGGAGCAAAAATATTTGAAATATGCATCATCTGAAATAATCTAAGCTTTTGCCAAAGTTCTGACAACTAGTTAACAGTATTGAGTATTGAGAAAATATGATTTGACATAGAGTAGTTTCTGGAGCTCCTAATATTTGTCAACAAAAGGTTTATTATAAATTTTCACTTATTTCTAAAGATCAAGAGGTAGTTGAGACTTCTGTTCTTGTAGTTATACCCTGAAGAATACTCTTGGTACAAAGTATCTAAAAAATGTGGTAAAATATATTAAAAACTTGAAACATACATAGTTGAACTGGAGTAATTCTGGAATACATTTCCATGTCTGGGAGTGAGATTTAAGATATCTGGTCCCCAGCAATATTAATGGCAGTGTTTAAATTCATAAATCCTTGTTTATGGGGGTGAGAATCTAGTCCACCTCATAACAAAAAGGATTGAGCAGAATTCACTTATTAAAATTATACCAGGTAAGGATATGTCCTCTATTTCTTTTCGGATTGGATTATTTAAAGCTAAGATTTAAAAGCCATTTAAAAAATGAACTCATAGTCAAATGTAAAGGGTTTATCATTAATTCTAAAAAGTCCAGTTGGTCACTTATTAGATAAGAAGATTGTGGTGTTGACTATAAACATTTCTCTATCTCCCTTTTAGGTCACATTATATGAATATAAGTTGCAGAAGTTGAAAATCCCATAAAATGATAAATGTCAGTGTGAGAAAAATTGAAAGAGGGCAAGAAATGTCTTTTCATGTCTTTTAATAATATAAAAAAGTGAAACATTATAGAGTTCCATCAGGTAGTACATTTCTATCTTCTTCCTAAGACTTTATTATTTTAAACAGTCTTTTAGAAAAGTAGTTATAATTTGATTACAACTTTGTTTATAAATCTACTAGCATTGCAGAATTATGTATTTGAGTAAAATTCCAATTCTCCCCCCACCCAAGCACCTTTATAACAACTCAAATAAGATTTTTTTTTAAAACTGGAAATCGCATGTGAATTATTATAGAAGAAATTTAAAATGTAGAAGGATGACAAATAAGCCTTTATTTTGTTAAATAGTAGAAATATAATAATTAATAATTAAGTACTGGAGAATTACTATTAAAACAAAAAATTCACAAACTGAAAAAAATGTTTTAATATCAATCAGTAACTAGATTTTCTTTTAAGTTTGAACCAAGGTCTATGATTGGGAGTAATCATTCTAAAAAATGAAGTAATTGTTTCATTGTGATCCACATTATATAAAAAATTTTTAAAAATTATGCTTATAATATGAGTGATGGTAGGGAAAGCCACATAGAGGTGGAATTGAACATGTCAGTTATTTTCTCTTGTTTAGCAAAGCGATTATCTGACTAGAAATATCTGAAAGGGAAGCTTCCTATTCCCTAGTTGATTACTGCTGCTAAACAGGGATTCCCAATTTTTTTAAAGGTGAGTTTTAATTATTTGTGTGAATTCAGTCATAGATAATCCTATCCTAAATGAAGGATGAACTTTTAATTTTTACTTTGGAATATGAGTTTAACTTTTAAATAACTTGGGCCTCCCTGGTGGCGCAAGGGGTCAGGCACCGCACTATGAAGCAATCCGCAGCCTCTGCAGCACATGTTTGATCCCCGACCAGCCAGGGAGCGCCCCACATGGCACAGCAGACCTCTCCTATCTAGCCTGCTGCTCCCCTCAGCAGTGTATTTCAGTCATTCTGCCTGTTCTGTTTCCCACTCTGTCTCTGGTGAATCCTCTCACCCCCCACATCTCTGGCCTGTACCCCAGCTCTTGTAGGTATAAATAAATAAATCCTTAAAAAATTTTAAATAATTTATGTGTGTACACATTTTAAAAGTGTTTTCATCTGTATACCACTTTATGCTACTGCAACCCCATGAGGTTAGCAGGATCTAGAGTTATTATCTCTTGCTGATAGAAAGTGAGGTCTACCAGCAGTCGGAAGAGTAACAAGGAACACACATTCTCCTGTAGGAATTTCAGCAGAAGCAGACCCCATGGACACCTAGGTCAGACTGGTAAAACTGTTGTTGAACTTCTGGTCTCCAGAACTGTGCAAGAATAAGTTTCTCTTGTTTTAAATCACCAAGGATGTGGTAATTTGTTACAGCATCTCCAGGAAACAAATGCAGAGATACTATCTGAGTTTTCTATTCCATGTTTAACTTCATGCAAAGGACAGAATCTCTAGTTTGGAAAAGGTGAATTCAGAACAGATTTAGAGGAACCTAAGGTTTGAACATTAAGACATTGCTGGAAAAGAACATGGTTAAAATGCCAGGGTTTCTCAGCACTTGTCTTCAAGGACTTTTGTTCTCTGAAAACTAGGGAATGCCAATGAATTTCAAAAAGAAATATTTAAATGGAGTAGATATTGTTAATTCATGTAAAAATAATCTTATCACTAATAAATTGAAATATAATAAATACATCTAAGAAAAACTGGGAACTAATTATATACTTATTTGAATAAGAAAACTTCAAAGTTTCACAGGAAAGAAAGTGTTTTTTTTTTTTTTCTTTCCCTTTGCAGGAAACACATTGGAGTTATCATGCCTGGAAGTGTGTTTACAACCTAATTTCACCTATTCATTTCCCTTAAATTTTTCTTTGGTGACTTTTCTGCAACCAGCAAGGGAAAACCAGACTATTCTGGGAATCTTTCTAAATCATTCCAACTTTGAAAACTTCACCAGGATTTGCCAAGACATCACAAGAGAATTTAACACGTGCTGCTCATGTTTGGTTTGTGAGACCAAAGAAAACATAAACTTTCCTTCTCAGGGACCAACATCAAAAGGTAAAACCAATGGGAAAGAGAATAAGATTTATCAATGAAAAAATCACTTTATTTCTGTTAAGAAAGGTATTAATAATCTATTTCAATTTTAAGTCCAGTGGCACTGGATAATTGGTGCTGTGATTCTTCATAGAGGACTTACTTGTAGGAATTTGGGGAATTACTCATTCTTGGTTTACTTTGATTTACTAAAAAGAAAATATTCTATTCCTAAATACATCAACATTCTGTAATAATTCACAACACTTGATGGTTTAAGGATACTAAGCAGGCTCTCTTCAAAGGTAGTAAATTAAAAAACAATTATAAGTAAATCTGTGGTGTGTAAAATCAGACTTTGATTCCCAAAGGAGTTATTGAATCCTTGATGCATCTGTACCTGCTCCTGCCTAACATTTATCTACTGAGTGTGAATTGTGTTTTCACTTGTCTAACTATCCAATGAGACTTTTGAAGGTGGGGACTTTGTTCTCTACTGTATTACTAGATCTTAGCATAATGTGACATTAGGTACTCAATAAATATGTTTATTTAAAGAGTGAAAAAAATTAAAATATAACTAAACATTATCTGTAGTGCCAAACTGAACTCTGATTTTATCATGAGATCAGTATATATTATTCAATTCAATCAAATCCATTTGGATCATTGAGAAATTAAATAATTTATGTAAAGTCACAAATTAAACTGGTGGCCTCAAATTTATTTCTTATACCTATTCAGCAAGATAGCTTCCTGCATCACTCCATGTTAGCATTTTTTTACATTCTTCAAAATGGAAATTAGATTTCTTGGCATTGACTTTGAGCAAAGTACAATATGTATTGTTGAGACGCTTTGCAAATAGTCTGTGCCGCAAGTCACAGGAAATATCTGTATTTTCTCGGAGAGGCTCCAAGTCTATTGCAACTTGACTCTCACCTGCTTTTCATAATCTTAAATACTGAAAGCACTTAATCATTATTATTAGTTTAGGTTACATCTTGCTTCTACTTAAAAAAAAATAGGATTGAGGAGTTTTAGTTCTGAGTTGCATGTATTTTCTTACTATGTACTAATATTTTGCAAATAATATTGTCTTAATATCTTTCCAGTTCTTATCATGAGAGGATCAATGGAAGAGAATGAAAATGATTTTTACTCACCCTGCCAACATTTCAACTTCATTGTACCTCCTGTAGTTGACTACTTAGAGGAATATAACTTTACCTGTCATCTAAACACCCACACTAAAATGTCAGCAATCTTGGAGGAAGTTGCAATACAGAAAAAGTCTAGAAATCATACTTACAGAATTAAGGAATACCCAAATAATTGTATACACATTTATTTGCACCTGGAAAAGGATGCAAAAAGTAAGTATTATTTAAAATTACAAAAATTCTTGTTGAAGTAATATTGCATTATAACATCATGTAAGTTTCAGGTGCATTCATTATAAGTCAACATTTATATATAATATACTCCATTAAATTCACCACTGAAAATCCAATCCTATCGTTGACCATACAATTGACTTTTTTTTTTTTTTTTTTTTTTTGCTGATTTATCTACTCTTCCCAATTCCCTTCCATTTTTGGCAACTACTAATTTGGTCTTATAGTTGAGAAGTGTATTTTTAAGATTTATTTAATTAATTAACTCCTTTGGTTTCCCAATATGCCACATACAAGTGAAATTGTTGTCTTTTCTGGCTTATTTCACTAAGAACAACACTCTCTAGGTATATCCATGTTATCAAGATTTCATCAAAAAGTAAGTTTTAAAGGAAATTAGAAGGAAAAGAAGATTGGACAAGACACAAAATTAAATAAGAGATACCACATTAACTTTATTGCGAGTCAAATGATTGAAAAATTTATGGATGAAATAATATGAATGGAAAGAATGTTAATTCTTTTATCTGTTTAATTTTTTTTCAAAATGGGCTTTTCATGGGACCCAACTGAACCATTTATGGTTGTGATTTGAGGGTCACTAAAAAGGTCCTTTGCCCCAGAATACTTGTGGACATACCGATTAGCTTGGGTATTAAAGGGTGAAATATATTTTTAAATATAAAAAAGTTCCATTTACATTGTGATGTGCTATTAATTATATATTGAATTGATATGTTATCTTAGAGCTAAGATCTAGGCCTGGATTGAATGGAACTTTTTTTTTTTTTTTTTGTGGGACCCTCGCCCAGTGGCCGGGGATTGAACTGGTGCTGCAGAGGCTGCAGGCAGCCTCGCAACCCAGCGCTCAGCTGCTGCGCCACCAGGGGAGGCCCTGTATGGAACTTCTGATGCAATACAATGAGCTAGGTGGGGTGTAGATTAGGCTCTGTGTGTCACTGAATAAATGAATGAAGAGAAGATAAGAGACTAAAAGACAAAACTTATACATATCTTAATTCTGTTTATTAGCTTCCTCATTGCACTGTCCTGAATTATCACAATTAGTCCTTTTTTTCTAGGCAGTATGCTCCTACATCACCTAAAAACCTACTCTTGAAAAACATTTTTTAATATCATCACTATGAGTGCCTGCAGTGAGCTAAGTATGCAGTGTGCTGGCCAGGCATTGGGGGCATAGAAAAATTAATGTAAACCACTCAGCTGGATAGATGCTGTAGTAGTCACTTACTGTGCCTTTTGATATAGTGGACATATGCCTTAGAATGTTATTCTAAAGCCCAATGGTTTTTAAGGTAATTATTTTAAAAATATAATGCTTATTTTATTTATTTATTTTTAAAATTTATTTATTTATTTATACAAGCACTGGGTACAGTCAGAAGTGCGGGAGGGTGAGAGAATTCACCAGAGCCAGAGCGGGGAGCAGAGCAGGCAGAAGGACCGAAGTACACTGCTGAGGGGAGCAGCGGGCGGCAGGAGAGGTCTGCGCGCCATGTGGGACCCTTGCTGGTGGCGGGGGATTGAACGGCACTGCAGAGGCTGCGGGCAGCTTCGCAGCACAGCGCTCAACCACTGCGCCACCAGGGGAGGCCCTATAATGCTTATTTTAAAGCAAATACAAATACATAATATGTATGTATTTTAAAAGTAAAATAAAAGACTTCAAAGAAATTTTTTTTCTGTGAATTGGTTTGTCCATGGTCCTGCAGCCTCTACAATGAGGAGATATTTCAAGGGGTGTGTGTGTGTTTGTGTGTGTGGGCAGGGAGGGTGAGCTAATAGCTGAACAGAGGGGCAGAAGTGAGGTTGGAAGGTAGGTTCTGGAGAGGCTGCATAAAGTTGGCAATTATGATGTAATCTTGTTACAGGACAGCCCTGATATAAAACGTATTCCCGATATAAAACGGGTTGCCTGGCGGTGGGTCCTCACCAGCGCTTGAAAGGAACTTAATACTCCACTGTAGGCACACACAAAAGGTTAATAAAAGATTTATTATTAAATAGGGAAGGGGAAGGGGAAATGAGGAAATGTATAACTCAGGGAGAAAAGTGGGAGATAAAGTCTTAAATGTGTCCTACCCCATCCGCCGATCTGGAATCCCAAATGGCACTCTGAGAGCTGGCCGCCAGCCACCATTGGTGATGCCAGGAGGAGAGAGAGAGAGAGAGAGAGAGAGAGAGAGAGAGAGAGAGAGAGAGAGAGAGAGAGAGAACACCCCAAGGCCCAGGTGTCTGGTTTTATACCAAACCTGGCTGCTTAACCCCACCCTCAGGTCCCAGCCACCTTCCCTTTGGTGGTGATGGGATTTGTCTTTCCCAATGTCTTGATGGCTTTGGTCTGGAGTGGGGGTGGGGTCCACAAAGCCTGTATGGATTAGCTCAGGACATCCTTTCCCCCTAACAATCTTGAGAGATAAAAAAAAAAATTGGATTATAGATATGAAAATATCTATTTCAACGTCCATTTATGTACCCATTTGACTGCTCCATTTTTCTTAGTTGCTTGATCCAGGGTCAAAATTGTTAATTACAATGGGCTCTGATTCAGGGACTTTACTATATTGTGGTCTTAACCTTGTGATTCCAGGTTCGTGAACTAACATTGCCTGACTAACATTGCCGCAAGTGAAATTTATTCTAATTTTTGTGATTAAATGAATCCCTAAAAGCTACCTGCTCAAGTTTCTCATTTAATACAACAGGAAAGAATTCAGGAGAACAAGCAGCTCTGTAACAGTGAGGATTAGCCATTCAGCTTTTTAGTTAAGGGCAGAATAGGAAATAGAACCAACCTACACCATCACATAGCCCCTTATCTGTTGCCTCACTTTTTTTGTATCTTTATAGTATATTTTTTCCTTGCAGATTTCATCTGTTCCATGAAGATCACTTGGTATGCTTTAGTTCTATCAGTTTTTATATTTTTGTTCATCGTCACTATCCACAAAATACTTGAAGGCCACAGGAGAGCGAGGAAGTGGCAGAGTAAGTATTGAGAAAAAAATTGGTTATCGGGATAATACATGAAGTGTCTTAATTACAGATTTAAGTTGTTTTAAAATTCACATTACCTTTTATTAAATGCCTACTGTGTGTAAGCTGTGATCCAAAGAAGATAAGCATAAATACCACAGAGGGCCAGGAGTTCATTGACTGGAGGTTGAGCCTGAGCTTACTGGAAGTGGGGGTTGAAGAGAGCTAGTGGAATGGGGATTAGTAAAGCAGAATTTCAGTTAGAATTTGAGCAGAATAACTCTAGATGGTGAGTATGAGTGAGAGTCATCTTTAAAATTTGTCAGTAGTATTTGGTTAGGCAGAGCAAAAATGTGTAATTGGAAATCAGGACGACAGGGTGTCTCGTTTGGATGCATGGCTTGGGATGAAAAAGAGTCCAAGTGAATTAGAACAATGAGAAGCCTAGAGGGGCTACACTGAAGAAACCCCTCTAAGGAGGTTGGATCAAAGTGCAGCCCCATTCCAAGGACATCTTGTATTTATTTAGAATCAAGTGGAAGATAAAAAGTCAAAGCAGCAAGAAGGCATAGACTGGAAGTTCAGGGAAAGAGTCAGCAGAGGCCTTAGGGTTTTTGCTAATCTAAGTATAACATCTATTGCTGATTTCAACACATGCTGCTTTCAGCATATATAGTTCCTCACACCAGGACTTTGCCCTGAGAGTTTCCTTATCTCAGACTTTCTCTTTTTGTATTATTGGTGAAGGGCACAGAAAAGTCAAGGCAAAGACACAGAATAATCCAAGCTCCCACAGCAGAGACAATATTAAAAATATTTAACAACTATTAAAACACAGGCATTTACCTATCAAAATGGACACCGGCTGTAAACTATTGGTGTACACCTGTGTACACTAGGAATCCTGGCGTTCACCTGTGCACACACTGACTGAAGAGCAGGCCATAGGAACAGTCCACAGTATGAGTAGTGGTCTCTTAGAGGCAGGATAAAGTGTGAATGATAATAAGCTGTGGAGACAGGTGGACTCAGGTTAGAATCCTAGTTGTAGCACTCACTGGTCATGTGACTTTGAGTAAGTTCCTATACCTAAGTGTTTCTTTTCTTCTTTGTAAAACAAGAATAATCACAGGGTTGAGGTAAGGATTGAAATAAAGAGATTATGTAAGAAGTTTAACAAAGTGCCTAGTTTTCAATAAAAGATAGCACTATGGGGCAGTTGGATTATTTCCCAAGGCTGTTAGATTTGCTGCTAGGTTAGAGTGAAGGTGCATTAATTCTTTGGGTTACATATGTGCTGCAGACATTTCTGAGAGCAGTTTTATTTTAAATTTTTAAAAATATTTATTTATTTATGCATACAAGAACTGGGGTACAGACCAAGAGGTGGTGGGGGGTGAAGAGATTCACCAGAGACTGAGTGGGGAACAGAACAGGCAGAATGACTGCAGTGCACTGCTGAGGGGAGCAGTGGGCGAGACAGGAGAGGTCTGCTGCACCATGTGGGTAGCTCCCTGGCCAGGGATTGAACTCGTGCTTCAATGGCTGTGGATAGCTTCATAGGTTGCATCTTAACCCCTTGCACCACCAGGGAGGCCCTTTTATTTTAAATTTAAAAAAAAAATTATTTATTAATGCATCAAAGAGCTGGGGTGGAGGCCAGAGTTATGTGTGTGGGGGGCTTGGAGTGAGAGAATTCACCAGAGACAGAATGGGGAGCAGAACTGGCGGACCTACTGAAATACACTGCTAAGGGGAGCAGCAGGCAAGACAGAAGAGGTCTGCTGTGCCATATGTGGTTTAGCTCCCTGGCCAGGGATGGAACTCAGGCCATAGTGGTGACAGTGTGATAGTGCTAAGACTTAAACCCCAAGCCACCAGAGAGGCCCCTGAGAGCACTTTATATCAATTCTTGACCTTGCTATGCTAGTATATAAGGTTCTTAATGCATTTGTTAATAATATTATCAATATTGTATATTTATAGAATAACTGTTTTCAGAGAACTTTCATAAGTTTTTACTAGATTTTCACAATATGTAAATAGGGTATGTGCTATTATTTTAATTCTTTTTTTTTTTAAAGATTATTTATTTATACAAGCACTGGGTACAGTCAGAAGCACGGGAGGGTGAGAAAATTCACCAGAGCCAGAGCGGGGAACAGAACAGGCAGACTGACAAAATACACTGCTGAGGGGAGCAGCGGGCACGGCAGGAGAGGTCTGTCGCGCCATGTGGGACCCTCACCCCGCGGCTGGGGATCAAACCGGCGCTGCAGAGGCTGTGGGCAGCTTCACAACCCAGTGCTCAACTGCTGCGCCACCGGGTAGGCCCTTATTTTAATTTCATAGATGAAAAAAAAAAAAAAAACACAACAACTGAGTGTCAGAGAGGGCAAGTGTTTTGCCCAAAGTTATGTAGTTAATAAAATGTCATAATTAAGACCAGGGTCTTTCAAGCTTGACAGTTATATTCTTTTAAATAAATGTTATGGTTGTGAGTTTCTGGATCTATTCTTAATGTATAATTTCATACTAAAAAAGAGAGATAACAGCTGATAGAGGGCCTCCCCAGTGGCGTAGAGCTTGAGCGCTGGGTTGCAAATCTCCCCTCAGCTCTGCAGTGCCGGTTTGATCCCTGGGCACGGGGTGAGGGTCTCTGGCTACGGGGTGAGGGCCCCATATGGTGCGCAGACCTCTCCTGCCGCCCGCTGCTCCCCTCAGCAGTGTACTTCGGTCCTTCTGCCTGCTCTGCTCTCCGCTCCGGCTCTGGTGAATTCTCTCACCCTCCCGTGCTTCTGACTGTATCCAGTGCTTGTATAAATAAATAATCTGTAAAAAAAAAAAAAAAAAGCCAATAGAAAAAAGTGTCTAGAAAGAGACCAGTAGTGGAGAATGACCTTAAGTTCTTATGAACATCTATCCATATGACAGGCTTAGTGGCTTTCAAAGTTTTGCCTTATAAATCCAAGCATATAAAGCAATGAAAAATGTCATACCATTTAGGACATTAAATCTATTTAAATATTAATATGCATTAAGTATTCTGTGTATCATATCTATGTATATGACATAAATAATATAATATCTGGACATAAGAGCTGGGATTATTCATGAAAGGCAATGGCACAGTGGCATTCATAGTCATGGAGAAGCCATTAGTTTTATGTAGAAAGAACCTGTGTTTGTTCATGGAAAATAATGTAATAAAGAAAAGCTTTTAATGTCTTGGCATTGCAGGTTCCGGAGTTGTCAATGGCCCATTCGCCCTAGTAACCCTTAGAGCCAACCTGGGGAATATATATTAAGAATGTGCTTGCTTATCATATAAATATTTAATTTCTTTTCTTGGAATAGGTCATAAATACCGATCTACATCTGTTCTCTTAAGAGGAAATGATTCTGAGAAACTTCGAACATTGAATGTGCGGGTTATTTCAGGTGAGTTCCGTGACAATGTATAAACAGAACATCGCTTAGGAAACCCCAGGCTTCACCATTTCACTGTAGAGTGAACTCATTCATGATCAAGAGATGTGACCTCATTTAAACTAGCCTCGTATCTGAAGGAAAGGAGCTGTGGGCATATGAAATCCAGCTAAATATGTCTTATTACCAGGGGATAGTTATGATCAAAACTACCTCCTTAAATAATGGAAAGTTTGCTTAATTGGCAAGAAGAAATTTATGGGAGTAAGGAGTGGAGAGAAGGCAATAAGGAATAAGGCTCAGATTTATTTTTAAATGAGACAAGATACCATTATTTCTCAGAATTGCAAGAAGTAATTGCAGAGTGGGTATGGCTATTGCTGGAGCCTTCACTTAGCAGAGGGTGCCATTGTGTAAAGAGAACTTCTAATAGCCCCAATTAAAAAGTCCCCTGTCCTCTCCCGAGAAATAGAAATGGAATAAGGCAATCCTAATTAGAGCAATGAAGGGGGCTGTTAGCACAGATGCTGTGCTTGCATCTCTTAATTGTGAAGCCTCCTTCTGAATTCAAGCTGTCGAGTCACATTAAAAAGAAAGAGAGTGAGGATGTGACATGGACAATGTTCTCACTTCATCAAGGAGAAATATTATCTTTGGCTCTTTGGAAACCACTGTGTTAGGAGTGGTATTACTACAGCTCACAGCCAGTGAGCAGCTCCCTTCTTTGTGAGAAGTGTGAGAAGAAAGCTTCAAGTCTGATGTGTAAACAGTTGTCAAAAAAAATGACAGGACATAGTGTGCACGCCGAGCCCCTCGGTGTAGCTGCGACTGAAGCCGCTTGGAGATTACTCAGTACTTCACCGGTACCAAGCTCTGGAGGTTTTTCTTAGCCATTTCCTAATTTAAATAGCTAATCAGGTACACGGATTTCTAGCCTGAGGAAAAATTGGACTGTGTGCACCTAAAGAACTAAAAAAAAATTTAGATTTTCTGCTCTTCTAATAGCAAAATTATTAACCTATGGCTGATAGATAAACACTGGTTAAGTAACCATTTGACACCAGTTAAATGCAGGGGGTGGTGGGAGGGGGTGCTGGAGGACATTTTGTGCATTCAGTGACAGCTTTTTTGACTAATGAAATAAAAATCACAGGGTTGTTTCAAGTGGCAAAATTAATTTTTAAAGGGAGAAAATGGCATTTCTTTTCTTCTGCCCTCTTAGCCAGTGCACATATCTGATATTCATATGCCAGAAATCTTTTAACCTAATTCTGTTGGTCCTTTCTCTTCTCAAGTCATAATTTTGAGCCCTGCAGTTTTGTCCAGGAAAAAGTCAATAACTCCCCTGTCAACCCTTATAATCTGGGGAATCATAAATTTAAAGTACTAGCTAACCACAAGACTAAACTCACAAGTGGTATTTATGAGCCTTTGAGTCCCATTCACTTGAAAACCTTGTCTCAGTCATCTTTTCCCTTTCACAGTTGTCACTAAAATCCTCTGGCTTTATTACCAGGTATATAATTTTAATGTTTAGAGAAGGCCAAGAGGTGATTGGTCTTTTTTAAAAGCAAGAGTCTTTTTGAGGCTCAACATCTTCAAAGGAGAAAAAAGCAGATTCTTTCCTGTTATTTATATTCCTGTAACCTAAATGCAATTTCCCCCCTCCTTTTATAAGTTGCTCTTTCTGTGAGAGAAATGGAAAGGAAATGATGTCTCCCTCGAGTGCCATTTTTAAGGCCTCTCTTTATAATGATGGATTATAAGCACTAGTGAGAATGGAAGGGGGAGAATGTGCCAGCCTGCTTCTGGAGAAGCAGTAACACAAGTTTAAAAAAAAAGTAGTTCAAAGACAATAGTACCTGGAGTCACATGGAGCAGAGCAGCCTGCTGTCAACTCTGGCTGTACATTCCAGAATGCCCCTTCATCTGTTCTTGTATTACTAGATAAGTATTGTTACACATGTACACACAGGAATATAGATAGGTTCACACTCTCAAAAAGACAAGAGAGAAATAAGGAGAGTATACCAAGACTCTGGCACTACCCAGTGCCTGGCACCAACTGGGGGCACATTAAAGCTGATAGAGTAAATGAGCCTCACTGCTGTAGAGACAGGTGTCATTGAGAATCAGATCCCCAGTTTTCCCATGCCTTGAATATTTTCATTGCTTTGAGAAGTGTGATTGTTTATGTCATCTGTCTTGGCATTAATCTACTTTACCTTTTATTCATTTGGCTGTTCACACAGGTAATGACTATTTTACTCATCTTTGGATTCTTGTCCCTAACATAAGATCTGGCACATAGTTTGAGCACAATAAAAACTTATTAAATCACACAGTCCTTAAAGAGAAATGAGTATAGACTAGAAAGAGCAAATAAGCCAGTAAATTTTGGGGGTTGCAAATGTGAAAACAAAGAAACAGAGTGTGGCCAGAGAAAATAAGATTCCACTGTGTTAAAGAACATGTAACACATTTTATAGAATTTTTAAGGATATCAAAGGACAATGAAAAACATTGACCACCCTGAAGAAGAAATTTTGAGAACTAGGCAAAAGTAACTTTGAAATGTATCCCTAGAAACAGTGCTTGAAGAGTTCATGACCTTGGAAGACCAAGGTCAAGGGTAGGGGCAGTAGATAAGATCTGAATAACCCAATGCAAACAATAGAATCCAACTTGGCTGACTGAAAGGGAAGGGAATTGATTGGGAAACCAGTGGATAACCCACAGAAGCACTGAGGAGGTTAGGAAATCTGAGTTTGGAAAATAAACAGGAGTTAAGGAAGGTCAGGCAGCCAAAATATAGGCAAAGTCATATCACAGAAATGTGTTCACAATGCCTCTCTGGTGTCCCCACCATTGGATACTCCCTCTGAGTTGCCAGAGCTCCCGTTTGACCACTTGCAGATTTTTATCACTGTCCAGGACACTCACAGCCAGGTGTTAGCAGAGTTAAAGTTCAAATTCTGATTTGTCCAAAGGATACACACTCTAGCACCGCTTAACAGCAGTTGAATAGGAGCTTGCTCCTGCTGGTTCAAATCACAGATCAAAATTCTTCTTACTCTTTTATATTAACACTGAAAGCTGAGATGAAACATTTTTTCTATAGAAGGTTGTGGAAGCTTGTGTGTGACAGCGTGAGTCATCCATAAAGTAAATTTCAGCATGGGCTGAAATGTTTTCTGCAGTTCATGTGGGTGGGTTCTTTAGGGAACATGAAGTAAAGAAAACAAAATTTTACTGTGAGAGACAATTACTAAATGCCAAAGTAAGTGGATGACCCAATAATTTGTGTACCCCAAAATAAAACTAATGGCAATGTAAAAGTATAATTTGTAACATATTTATGGCCAGTATAATAAAAACTAAGCAGGTTTCAATTTCCTGCAGAAGAGAAGATAAATTACTGGTGCTGGATGTCCAGCAACCAAGCAAGATAACTTGAAAATTTAATTCTTTACTTGCTTAACTATAATACTTATGACTCTTAAAATACAGATTTGGGTTCATAAAGCAGTAAAGGTTTTAGCCATCTGCTTGGTTTCAGAACATATCAAAATGCTGAGGGTGATTTTGCAGAAAGAATTCACAAACATGAAGAATCTATAGGCAGAATAGAGAAATTTATTCTATTCTGTCATTGTTTGCCTTCATGTGAAAACCACTAATGGCAGGTCTGGAAAAATTGATCATAAAACACATGTAGATAAACTCCATCTGCACAGAGTCCCTCTGCCTGAACCACTCTGCTCCCTTGCCACCCCTTGAGAACCTCCCCTCTTCCCACTATTTCTTCGTCTAGTTGACTCCAACATTACACTTCTATACTTCACTATCATTTCCCCAGTAAAGTTGTCGCAGACTTCCTACACTAGGTTAACCCCTCTTATTACACACTCTTACTACCAACACAAGTCTCTCTTTGTGGTAGTGATTGCTGTTGACTATTTTATATTTTCATGTTAGTATTTGATTAGTGTCTTCCCTAGAAGCCAATTAGTTCCTTGACGTCAGGGACACTCTGTGACAATACTCATCTCTGCAACCCTAGCTCGTAACATAGTGCATATCAGGGCATATAGTAAGCCTTGTCAAGTAGTTGTCAAATAATTATAACTCTGTATGATTGTTGAGAGAATGATTGCCACTGTCTTACAAAGATCTTTCAAATGCTTTCCCCCTCTAAATTATAACTTTTTGTAATGCCTACCCAAAATGATGAAAGGAGAATGATTAAACACATCATCAGTTTCATTACTTGGAATGCTAAGGATATTTGCAGAGTGAATGAACAGGGAACTGAGTCAGTGGCTCAGAATATTTGCAGTTTTCTGTTCAAGGTGTACTTTTCACTCTTTAGTTGTTAATTCTAGATACTTTTGCAGCCATTTATTTTCCCATCCTTATTTGATTTTTCGCATTGGCCAGATTTGGAACCGATGAGTAGTTTTAGCATCACTGTTAATAATGACAGATGGAGGTTTGAACAAAGTAGGGAGTTGGTACCTTGAATAATAGAAATCTATTTTAAGCTGCTGTAATTGGTTTGATTAGTCCAAAAGGCTACTAGTTATCTTGGGCATAACAAGAATGTCAGTGTTTTTACATGATGAAGTATAGTAATATTGAAGTTCTGTGTTCCTATGGCAATAAGAAGAAATAAGATTGGAAGGTTTTTTTTTTTTTTGGAAGCAGATTAGAGAACTAAATAAGAATTACTAAACCAACAGAAAATTTCCACTTCTGTCTTGACCAAAGTAACCTATGAAGATTAATTTGAATTCCTTCATTTTTGGAGAAACTCTTAGGAGGAAACCAAATACTTTGTGGATAACAATTAGATATTTGTTGCAATTGTCTCTACAGTCAGGATGGCTGAATCCCTCAGGATGCAAAGGAAAGGAAGCCAGCACTGCTGTCATCCTTTCCCAGACTGGTTACCCATAGCAAACCCCCAGGGAACACACATGCAGGTCCTCCTAAATTCTGAGTGGACCTCTCGAGTAGGCTTAAAAAGATGCTGGGAAAAATATTTTGTTTTGCACTTGATAGTGCTTTCTATTTTTCAAAGTATATAAAAATATACTTTTTCCTACCTTATTTTACCCTTACCTTTACTTTCCTCTTTTCAGCGTCAAGGTGTTTATCCTAGCTTTGACAAAGCCACAAGGAAATGACCTTGGTTGTTCAGGTGTCAGTATTCACTGTTGAATCTTTGAAATGAACATGCTGGGGAAGGCCAAGGTCCTGTCAGGCAAGGCCACCTGGTTGCCTCCTCCTATATGGCCACACACGAGCTCACCTAGGTGAAGTTACCTGGCCCAGTGCTTCCTTTCAGGCCTGCAGGCTTAACGTCCTGTAACGGCAGCTCACCAAGAAGGATCCATCATATATTCCAGCTCACACCACCAGGTTTATAAAACCAGAAGTCCCTTTATTAAGAAAAATGAGGCATGATATTTTTAACAATTAAAACACAGATCTGGTTTGTGAAATAGTAAAGGTTATAGCCATCTGTTCTTGGTTCCAGAACAGATCATAATGCAGAGGGTGATTCTACACAGGAAGAAATTCTTAAGTGTGAAGAATCTATAGGCAGAATACAATGATTTATTCTATTCATTCATTGAATGCCTTTATGTGACAGCCATTAATGCCAGCTCTGCAAGAATTGATGACCTTCTTTCAGTCATTCAACACATATTTATTGACTGCCTATTATGTGTGATGCTCCAAGATGGGTTCTGAGGAATATAACTGCATGAAATATAGTCTTTTACACAAGGAGGCAGATAAATCAGCAATTACAACAAAATTGATAAATCAACTATCAGAAAGAAGTAGAGGTCACATGGGGTCTCAGGGTTCTCCTACTGTTACCTGTTTACTTCTAGTTTTGTTTTGGCTTTAGCTGTTTTTGCCTTTCCAATTTAATAGGCAAAAAACATTAAGTTAAACAAGTGGTTTTGGAGATAGGAATATCAAAAATTGATGGGGCATATTGCCTTAGCAGCCAAGAGAGCCTGGCTAGACTGAGGAAGGTTTAGATGTGCTTCCCTGTGGGAGAGGCACCTTGTCTCTGACATGAAAACCATCAAGAACAAAAGTGAAGAAATCATCTTGCAAGTTTCCATTACTCAGTAGGAATCAAAAATTACTTTGGGAGGATGAATTGAGGCCAGATACCAGGTGTCAAAAATATAAAGCACTTTTGAAAAGTGATTTTATACACACACACACACACACACACACACACGAAGTAAAAAGAAATATTAGAAGGCAAGCCAGGCATTGTCATGGGCAGCATGATGGGCTTTATTCAAGAACATAAGATGTGGAGTTCTATTTTTTTTTTTTTTTTTTTTTTGAAGACTTATTTATTTGTTTGTTTGTTTATTTATTTATTTATACAAGCACTGGGTACAGTCAGAAGCGTGGGAGGGTGAGAGAATTCACCAGAGCCAGAGCGGGGATCAGAGCAGGCAGAGGGGAGCAGCGGGCGGCAGGAGATGTCTGTGCACCATGTGGGACCCTCCTCCAGTGGCCGGGGAGCAGCTGGGGATTGAACCGGCGCTGCAGAGGCTGCGGGCAGCTTCGCAACCCAGCGCTCAACCGCTGCGCCACCGGGGAGGCCCTGGAGTTCTATTTTTAATCGACATTTCTATAGGGATTTTTGGTCACAAGATTCAGTCAGGTCAAAAATCAAACTGGGGTTCTTTTTAAAATTTTAGGTTCTTCTGGGGTTCCTGAAAATAGTCAAAGAAATGTTCGCCTCAGAGATTTAAAAAATTCATGGGAAGACTTTTGTGAAGTTTTAAAATATTTCTGACTGTTTCTGCTTCTTAAACTAGTGTGGGTGAATTAATATTACTTAAAAGAAACTCAATTTCCCAGAGTAGAACTAGAAAAAAATTCCACCCATTTTAGCTATTCTGAAGAAGATATTAAAATGACACATATCCCACCTTTGGTCTTTTTAACAAAATTGCAGAAGCTTTATTATTAGCACAGAAGTTACATGACTTTGGATAGTAGGAGAAACAGAAGTTAATGAAAGTTTCTTTGACCTCACCATCATTTTGACAGGGAATAGCTATTTATAGTAAATTATGGTTGTACCATACTATAAAACATCAGCAAACTGAATGAATGAGCAAATGATGAACGGTTTGACTTTCCAAACAAAAGAGTTCTGTGGATTTCCTTTGATAATTATTTAGTTTCATGTTTAGGCCCTTTTGACATTTTCACCTTTAAAAAGAACTATCTCTAAATCTCAAATTCTGAAAACAACGAACGTTCTTGCAAATGTCGTCTAGCAGTTATCTGCCTGGTAAGTTCATTCTGAAGCTTTAATGTGCATCAGAATCAACTTGGGTGTCTATAAAAATTCAGGCTCCCAGACCTTTATGACAATAAATTATAATTCAAAAGACCTGGGGAAGCAGCCTAGAATCTGCATTTTAAGTTACTACCTCTGATAATTTTCAAGGAAAGGGTTTGTTGATCAATAGTAAGTTTTCCATTGTTATGTAAAAAATGACCACAAACTTAGCATCTTTATTAAACAACACACACTTATATCTCACCATTTCTGTGGGTCAGATGTCTGGGTTCAGCTCCTGTAAGTCTCTGGTCTCACAGGGCTGAAATCAAGGGGTGAGCTGGCTTACTTTCTCATCTGACGGTCCAGCTTCCAGGCTCATTCTGGTTGTTGGGAGAATTCTTTTTCTCAAAGCTGCAGACTGACTTCTCACAGGCTGTGTGCCTGAAGCCATCCTCAGGTCCAGGAAGTCACCTTCAGGCCCCTGCTCTGTGAACCTTTCAACAGATCTTTTACAACAGGACAGTTTGCTTCTTCATGCCCAGCAAGAGATCCTCTGTCCTCAGGGAGAGTCAGGGCTCTGCTTTAATAGCTTTTACCTCATTACTTCAGGCCCAACCAAGATAGCAATGATTTTGAATAACTCAGAGTGGACTGATTAAGGACCTTAATTATACCTCTTATCTTTGCCACGCCACTTAACCTAATCACAGGAGTGAATACTCCTGCTTACACTCAAGGGGAGGGATTGCAGGGATCTGCACGCCAGAAGGTGGGCTTCTCTGGGGCTGTCTGAGAATTCTGGTACCACTACCATCCTTTGAGAACACGGGTTTAAAAAGACTGAAATCACAGACTTCTGGAAACTTTGAGTGTGAGACAAACAGGGCTGATAGAGTTATTCCTACAAGTGTGGTTGACATAATAAAAATTAAGGATGCCAAGGGACTCAAATGCAATGGACTGTAAGGAAGAGAACTCTGTGCCCAGAGAAAGACTGGTACCATTTTCTCTCCTTTGTCCTAATCAGTCAGGGAAACTTTGTCATTCACCCTTTAGAAGGCTACGTTCTCTCTGAGAAGAAATTCTAATGCTGGCAGCTATTTTAGTATTTCCACTGGAAAGAAGGGCCCTCAATATCTGATGGAAATGACCTTCAACAGGCATCTTGTTCCTATCCCTTAAAGAGTAGTTGCTGTCTTAATTTTCCATTTTGTAAAAAGATTTATGTATGCATACAAGAACTGGGATATAGACCAGAGGTGCAGGGAGGGGTGAGAGGATTCACCAGAGACAGTGGGGAGCAGAATAGGTAGATGCACTGAAATACACTGCTGAGGGGAGCAGTGGGCAAGACAGAAGAGATCTACTGTGCCATGTGTATTAGCTCCCTGGCTGGGGTTCGAACTTGGGGATCTAACTCCTGCTGCAGTGGCTGGCGATAGCTTGATATCACTGTCTTTAACCCCTGCACTCTATCTATCTGTCTATCTATCTATCTATCTATCTATCTATCTATCTATCTATCTATCTATCTATCTATCTATCTATCTAAAAACCAACAACCTTGTTTTTCTATGGCAGAGGAAGGGGAGAAGGGAAGAAACTATGTGATGTGGTGGTAAATGAATGCTGGGAAATGGACTAAGAAAGAGACATTTCACTGAATAACCCTTTATGGTTTTTAAACATTCAATCATTAAAAATTAAATCCCCAAAATAAATTTTCTATTAATTTTTTTATTTAAAAAGAAGAAAATTCCAAGAGAAGGTTTAACAACATTTCTGTTTCAGTAACCAGTGTTATATTAATGACAAGAAACACCACATTCTTGATTACACTTAAATCCTCCTTTTTGATTTTTCTTCTTAAGATGCAAGTACCCAACTTCCTTTTAAATTTGAGGTCACCTCATTTCCATCCATATTCAGTGCTCCCTATAAAAAAATGGAGACATCTGTGAAATAAAAAACTCATGAATTATGCAGAACTCATTTCAGTATAAAATCTAGAAAAGAAAGACCCCAGATTGCAGTGGAAGGAAATTGATACCATTAGGCCATGGACATGGAGTTTCATCACCTATCTTGAAGTCAGCTGAAGACAATATTAAAAGAATTTGATAAAGTCATATAGTCATACAGAAGGTAGATTACAATTCAATTACAAGTACAATTAAAAATTAAAATTAAATTAATTAAAAATTAAAATTAAACTAATTTTTAATTTTGCATCTTGGTAAATTGTTCCTCAAATTCAGGACTTCGTTGATACTTTCTTAGGGGTCCATTTCAACAAAAGGAATAGAAGGAAACTTTTGCTGTCAGTTTCCAAACTAAAGTGTTTTGTTGCTACTTGATATTGTATTTAAAACTCCCTCTTTCTTTTTTTGGTTCTCCTTAATTTATGCTTCAGGTCTTGTGCCAAGAAAGTGTTTGTGTGGGGTAGGGGAGGTGGGGAGAAGGGGACTGAGGATTGAAAGAGAAGAATTGAGAGAAATGGGTTAATGGTGTCAGAATTGTAGGCCGGAAATACAGTGAGTTGTAGAAACCACCAAAATCCTTTCTAGAAGTAGGGCATGGGTCTCCTACTATGTTAGAAAATACTCTGTTTTTGCATTGCTGTGGACTGGATGCATCAGTGCTAGTCTCCTTCTTAAATTATAGGCACCACGCAGAGACTGCCCTTGATTCAGGTCAAGAAAGTGCTCCCCCAAATACCTGAACTAGAAGTCGCTTCCATGGTGCATTAGCAAGATCAATAAACTTGGTGAGTGATGACTTATCTTTGACAACTTGACTTTATTCCTTATAAATGTGACCTGATCCAAGGAAGTATAGTTTTTCAAATTGCATTTCTACCTGGGTATAGCAGAGGGAGTGTTGAACTTGCAAAATCAGTTCATCTGAATTAGATGAAATGAAGTGACTATTTCTGCGGACTAGAAGGACCACTTGCTCCTGAGGTTTCAGCCCTGCTTCCTCGGGTGGAATCATAGTACCAGCAGGTTAATCATTGTTCCAGTTGGAGCATGAAAAAAAAAGAGAATGCAAAATTGTAACCCAGAACTCCCACTGACCCTCAATTACTGAAATAAAAGTAATCCAGAACTCCCACTGACCCTCAATTACTTCCCTAAACTTAGCACCTGATAACCTAAATCAATGCATATTGATTTCCATGTAATTGAATCCAAAATTGTCCTCTGAATTTTTTTTTCATTCATTCAAGTGGGTGTTACGTTATATTAAAGGCACTATTGATAGCTATTGTAGGGGGTGAGCAATGTTAACAGGGAAGAGGCAAGTATTCTTTTATCATGCTTGTCGGTGATAGGCTAGGTCACGCACTCTTCATAATACTTGGGCAGTTAGAGTCAACATCCCAGCAGGAGACTAATGGTGTACTCGGGATGTGGGAAATCCAAAATGGAGAGTGCGGTTTTCTAGGACCAGTAATAGTGAGATGATGCTGTTGATCCTAAAACTAAAGATTGGGCCTCCCCTGGTGGTGCAGGCATTTGAGCAGAAGTACTGTGAAGCTGTCCGCAGCCGGGGCAAGAAGCTCACATGGCACAGCAGACCTCTCCTGTCTTGCCCGCTGCTCCCCTCAGCAGTGTATTTCAGTCAGTCTGCATGTTCTGCTCCCTGCTCTGTTTCTGATGAATCCTCTCACCCTCCTGCGTATCTGGCCTGTACCTCGGTTCTTGTATGCATGAATAAATAAATCTTAAAAAAACCCAAAAACTAAAGGGCCAAGGAACTCAGAGGGACAGAGATAGGGGCAGACACGTGCACACACATGCACACACACAGAGCCATTATGAGGGGCGGGGGGGGGGGGTGGTGGTGGGCACCTGCCTGATAGGCCTTGAGCCCTTTAGTCAAGGTATGCAACAGTTTGTGAGTGCCCTGATTAAGAGAGAGAAGATATATTCCACAGTGGCTGTTCCCTCTTTTCCCTGATGTGCTAGTCCTCCCCATAATGCCAAACCCAACCAGGCCAGAGGCAGCTTATATAGACTGGCCTCCCCGTGCCCCAAACAGAGTAGGAAGAGTGGTGAGCAGAGCTGGAGAGGTAGTGGAAGGAGAGCTAGGTGGCTTAATGCATCAAATTGGAAATGCAGGGTCAAGGAGTACCTTATGTTTAGGGCTAAGAAGGGGTGGTGGCTCAGAAGTTCCTGGGTAGAATATGATGTCATTGCATAATTGTTTTAACATATTGCTGAATATTCTGCTTGATACCTCTCATTCTGGCCCTCATTTTGGAATGCTCAACCTTGCTTAGGAAGAGATCTGCTTTGTTCATTCACCAAAAACTTTTTCTGCAGCTGCTGTGCAGCAAGAATTCCACTACTCATTGGTGAAAATAACATGCAGTCAGTGGAGAGATCAGATTAGGCGATGCCTTGTTTCAACAGTATCAAGTAACAGGATAGAAGTATTCACAGTGGACCCCAGGAGCATGATGCAGAGACCCTCATTCAGTGGTTGTGTTATGTAGCCTCTAGTAGATGTCAAGAAGCATGTGTTGAGTCAATGTGCCTTTGTTTTAGAATGCTGGAATATTATAACACGCCTTTGTCCTAGAATGCTGGAATGTTGTAACACACAGAAACTTGTGTGAACACTGACACTTTCATTTTATACAAGTGGGAAAACAGATCCAACATTGTGTTGCTGAGGTTAAGGGGATTCCATGTTTTCTGGATCTTCTCTGGCTGAGAAATTTATTACCACTAACCATGCTTCTCAGGGCTCCACTAAATAACATAGGATTGGTGACTTTAGGAAGATAGTTGGTGTTCTTATAAGACACAGTTTTATTTATTTATTTATTTAAAAATATTGTTATTTATTTATTTACACAAGAACCGGGGTACAGGCCAGATGTGCGGGAGGGTGAAAGGATTCACCAGAGACAGAGCGAGGAACAGAACAGGCAGACTGACGAAATACACTGCTGAGGGGAGCAGCAGGCGAGTCAGAAGAGGTCTACCATGCCATGTGGGACCCTCGCCGGCCAGCTGGGATTGAACCAGCGTTGCAGAGTCTGCGGACAGTTTCACAGCGCTGCGCTCAACCGCCTGCGCCACCAGGGGAGGAACTAAGACACAGTTTTAATAAATGGGTTTTTAAACTGTTTTCCACTAATTCTACTAAGATAACACTTAAACAAAATTTTTCTGTGAATATTTGCCTTTTAAAAAATGTTCAGGTTATCCTTTTGAATTCCTCTGGACAACTTGGACAGAATCCTGTTGAAGAATACTCCTAATTTTATTTTGGAAATGAGTGAACTGATAAATATTTCGGTCCAACTGAGGATGAACAAGAGGAAACAGCAGGAATACTGGCTTGTTGGTGAAAATCAGCTCAACAGCACTCATTTGACCCATGATATCAAAGGAACGAGTTTTTTTTCAGGAAGTCATTATGACTCATAGAAGGTAGGGAAGCTCATGGAAACAGCAAAAGAATGCTTACCCTCCTTGGTGTCTGTCATTGTTCAGCTTCAAATGGCTCCAAGATATTAATTTTGGGGAACCAAATAAATATAGAGTCAAGGATGAAAACCCCCTCCTCTTGCTGGCTCACACTGAAAATTCTTATTTGATGGATCATGCTCTACAGATGGATTGTTTCCATTTGGCAAATGACTAGGAAGGTTGTTTGTTTACACATTTGTTTGCTTTTGTAAATCTTCCCTGCTTTTGGCACGGGGGATGTCTGAAAAAAAATTCAGAGATACCAAAATAAAATGAATTCAAGTGAAATACTTGAATATTTCAATCTACTAGCAGAATATTTCCTTAGATTCTTTTTGTTTTCATATTTTTACAGCTAACATTGATGTCAAGAATAATTATAGTTATTAATTATAATAAAAGCATATGTAGACATTGAAAATATAAAAACCTTGACGTTTAGGTAGAACTCAGTCTCCTGGAATCATTATTTGGTTACAATTGCTTATCTGAATAGATTTCCAGAGTTTAAATGCAGGATCACATTTAATATTAAGGTTCATAACAAGAATAAATGTTTCAACATGGAGGTTCATCTGGTCTCTCTCTCTCTTTGCTACATCACAAATGGGATTCTAATTGTAAAATTTAAGGATTAAGTATTTGGCAAATGGAATTCTACTAATCTCATTTTTACTTGTTTGTGTATTGCTCATTGATTGGAGGATCAAGTTCAGGTTTAGTGTTTTTCAATAGGAATTTAGGGGTGTCACCCTCTACGAGGTATAGATATTACACAATTTCTCTGGAGCCAAATAATTTCTCCCTTGTATACCACCTATCATATTCAGACTTGTAGATCAATGGGAACTTGGCTTACAAAAGGCATAAATTTAGCTTCCAGTTCTGTTAGGTTTGGGCACGTTTCTGGACTCTTATTTCTCTTACACAGCTTCTGTGAGCATTCAAAGATGTCGATGACTTCCTGTCCATATCAAACTTACAATCTAGAAGGGACAGGATACACACCCATTAGTTATTAGGTCAGACACAATGGGGTAAGAGAAGTGTCATTTACCTGCTCCACACTTCCTGCTGAGAACACGGGGCCAATGGCACCACTTCCAGTTGGGTGTAATCATACTGTGTAGCCTTCTTGAAAAAGCAGCTTTGAGCAGAACTGGTTGATGGCTTTTTCTGATCTCTCAGACTAGGGTAAATCTCCCAAGTATGTATGCTGAGCCCTCATAGTCCTTTTCATATTGATAGTTTGCAATCATTATCATGGGTATAACTAAAGTCTGTCTTCCTCTCTAGATGGACTCTGCTCACCGTAGTGATAAGTATTTATTGGATAAAGAACTATTTAGTGAGCACCCACTGTACACCAGTTACAGGCATGTACAGCCTCCTTACCTTCCTGAGAGAACCCGAGGCCAATGTGAGCTCCCCAATTTGCCTTCTGTCTCAGCATTAATGTGTGGATATACCCTGGGTCTGTTGGCTGCAGAGCCTGTGCTGCAACCAGGACTTGCACGTGCCACAGAGCAGGGTGCTTGGAGTGGGTGCTGGAGAAAAGGGACTCCACCTGAGAGCACCAACAACTCTCTCCTCTGGGAGTGCAGGAGGCTGGGTGAACTGTGCTCCTGAAGGAGAGACCCACTGAAACTGTGATAGAGGAATCTCCATAAAAAGGGGAGGTTCCATGTACCCTGCCCCCACTAATGAGGAGCAGAGCTGAGAGGCTGGGGGAGCTTGAGGCACAGAAGCGGCACAGGAAAGGGAGACCCTGGGAAAGAGAAAATGGAGAAGGGCTTGTTTGCTTCTTGGCTTTGGGCTTGTACCGGGAACTTGGGGGACTTGGAGGAGAAATGTTAAGAAGAGACACAAAGAGACACTTGGGAGAAACACGTAGGTGAGAGACCGGTGGGGAGGCTGTCAATGGCAGCCTCTATCTTGATTTTGTTTTTGGTCTTTTTCTTCGAGACTTGCCTTGCCCCTATAGGTCCCCTCCAAAAGATGCTGTAGACCTGTGGCAAACTTTCTGGTCTCAGTGGCCCTGCTTTGGGCCAACCCTGTTTGGCTGAGCATTTGCTCATGAAGGGATAGGTAATTTTGGGTATTTAATTGGAAACTATTTTAACTATATCCTTTCTCTTTCTTTATTGCACACTAATTGTATTAAAGTCATTTTCAATTGAAGGTCTTACGCACTAGAGAATGTATTGTCTTGATGTGGCAGATGGCAGAACCTATTTAGAGCAGGCAGGTTTGGGGAGTGTTGGGGTACGCCTTACCCTGGCCTATAACAGAAGCTTCTGAATTTTGAAGAAAGATGAAGTGTGCATGCACAGGCCTGGGGAAGACAGAACATTTGGCAAAAATATACCACCTCACAAAACCCTCTTAATGAATTACTTTTCCTTCCTAATAGTTCAGGGTGTTACAAGAGGGAAGTAAGGAGATAGCATTGCTACTGACTGAAAGAATGTAGCCATGTTTTTTTTTTTTAAGATTTATTTACTTATTGCATAGAAGAACTGGGGTGTAGGCCAGAGGCCAGAGGTGCAGGAGATGAGAGGATTTACTAGAGACAGAGTGGGGAGCAGAACAGGCGGTTCTACTGAAATACACTGCTGAGGGGAGCAGAAGGCAGACAGGGCAGGTCTGCTGCACCATATGTGGGTTAACTTCCTGGGCAGGGTTCAAACTCAGTTTCAGTGAAAGCACTGAAACTTAACCCCTAGCCCACCGGGGAGGCCCTGAAAGAATGTAGTGTTGAGGGTATGTAATGGCAAATTCCAGGGAAAATAACTTGATGATGAGAAGATTTATTATCTTACCTAACAGTAATTCTGAATAGGGAACTTGCAGGCTTGGTTAAATAAAGAACTTATGCCATCAAGCTCCTGGGCTCTTTCCTCTCTGCCATCTTCAGTTCAATTGCTTTTGTTTTCAGGCGCTTCCTCTCAGGGTTTTGATACAGGGCAGCCCAGATACAAAATGGGTTGCCTGACTGTGGGTCCTCACCCGCGCGCTTAAAAGGACTTATCAATGCTCTACTGCAGGCACACGTGAAAGGTTAATAAAAGGTTTATTTACAAGGGAAGGGGAAATGAGGAAATATACAGCTCAGGGAGAAAAGTGGGAGACAAAATTTTAAATGCGTCCTACCCGATTCGCTGATCTGGAATCCCAAATGGCACTCTGAGAGCTGGCCGTGAGCCAGGAGCCGTGAAGCCAGGAGGTGAGCAAGAGAGCAAGAGAGCAGCCCCCCAAGGCCCACGTGTTTGGTTTTTATACCCAACCTGGCTGCTTAACTCCACCCTCAGGTCCCAGCCACCTTCCCTTTGGTGGTGACGGGATTCGCCTTTCCCAATGTCTTGATGGCTTTGGTCTGGAGTGAGGGTGGAGTCCACAAAGCCTGCATGGAATTAGCTCAGGACATCCTTTCCCCCTAACAGTTTCAAGAAGAGAGTATATTAAATGGTGGTGACAAAGAACCAACAACCACCAGGTCATGCAGTTATTTAAGAATAAAGAAACCTTTAGAATAAATGTCCCTCCCAGCTCCCTAGCAGATTTCCCCTCAGGTCAGAGCTTCTAGAACTGAATCACAAACCCACCCTTACACTTACCAGTGATGGGAGGATGGGACCATTGGGACTAGTTTAGAAGAACAGACATTTCCCTGACACTTAAGGAGTGGAAGGAAATTGACCATCAGGATAAAACCAGGACTTTGCAAACATGGAAGAAGAGGGAAATGACTGTTGGGTGCCATGGGCATTCCTTCTCAATTCCAAGGAGATATGCAGTGAGAAACTGACTTAAAACTACTGGATTTTCCCTGGCAATCTCTTGAGATATGCCAAAGACTGTTCTTCAGGCCTGATTGGGCAACATTTTGTGATGAACAGTGTGACTATAGTGTCATGGGGCCATTATCTTCTCTCTCCAGAGATACATGTCTTTGCAGATGAACTCTAAAAATAGTTAACCTATTTTCACATAAAAAGGGCAGTAGCGTGTGATATCATGTGGGCAGACACAACATTTATAGTGAAGAGCTGCCTAGTGGTTACTACTTTTCTTTCATAACCTTACCCCAATTTCGTCTTAGGGAATTACCCATCACTTATTGAATGATGTCTTGGTGGGAATGTAAATCAAGGTTTCTTGCTCACCTGTCAAGTGCTGGGATGTGACACAAGCTAGGCCAATTTGACCTTGTCCTTCAGGACTTTGGTTTATGGATGCTGTGACACGGGGTGAGAAAAAAGATTGGAATTTATTCTAGCGGTAAAGTTGAATCGATCTTGCTTGTAGATACACCAATATACCCTCTGCTCCCACCAAACTGTCTTGGTTTTGAGTCAAACTTCCTTGGTTTTGAATCTGGTTCTCCAGCCTTCCCTTTAATTCTGAGAGGGAAAAATTATATCCTTGAAAGATCCCTTTCTTGTTCAAGTTTCCAGAGTCAGTTTCTTTTGCCTGCTGGATACAACATCTAACATTCATTTTATTTCATAAGGTCATAGTATGCCTGAGCTCTAAGAAATTCTATAGATCATCTGGTTCAACTCCCTCATTTTACAGCTGAGGAAGCTGAAGCATCTAGAGTTGGAGTGGTTCCCCCAAGGTCATATCATAAAGCTTGTCAGTAATGGATCAGGGATTAAGACTAGGTCACCTTTGCCAGGGAGTCTGCTTTTTATTTTAATCCTGTATAGCATAAACCACAGCTGCAATGCTTAGTAGAGGATAATGACTTAAAAAATATATATATATATTTCAAACATGCAATTTGCTTTGTGTAGTTTAAAAACTTGTTTCAGAGAGTCTTTTCAGGGATTTGGCATCTGGTAAAGGCAGGCATCAGTTTATATCCTTATATGGAGTCTTGATTCTTTCCAGCTATCTTTAAATGTTTTTTTCCCCTTATATGAAAATCATGTTTGGAGAGGAAGTGGTTTGCTCTAGGGAAGCATGTGGGCTGGGGCTCTGAAAGTTATTATTTTCCATTTCTAAGTCTAATTTCTAGTTGTGTGCATTTGGAGAGAACTTTCTTTGATGCACATAAAAGATATATGTCTGTTATATTTTT